TCTGTGTAACCTGCCTTCTCTCATTTCTAGTGAGAATAGGTGTATGTGGGTCAAGAATGGTGCAAGGGTTTTAGGTTCAAAATAAATGATTACTCAGGGCTGCATATCTTTTGTCATTCTCAAACACCGTACAGATTCCCCTACCTACACTAAATAAAACTAGTAAACAAAACTGTCTGGTTTAACAGGAGGAAGGGCATTGGAGGACTGTCAGCACCAGAGTGATTTTTTTGTTTGTTTTTGTTTTGCCTGTCTCTTCACTGCAAAATATCTGGTTCCAGCCATAGCTGAAGTGCAGCTTATGCTCTAACCTATACCCCCCAGCTGAGTAAACTAGCCCAGGCTTAAAGCACTCCAAACCTGGATCGGATGTTTTCTATGTGGATGGTGGGGGGGCGGGAGACGGGGAAGGTTGTGCTAAAACCTGCGTAAGAGCCGAGTTAACATTGTAATGTAGGCCTATCCTTGCAAATGCTTCAACAACATTGCAACTGATACTATCTACAAATTTAGCTGTGAAACTTGTTTGACTGCTCTTATGTATCTTCCTGCTCTGCTGCATGCGTACTCTGCAACTGCAGCATTGGGTATCTTAAAGCTACACACCACAAACCAATATTTAATTTAAAACAGAGATATAGAGATAAAGATTTATAATTGTATAGGTTTCTCTGTGGTAGATTGTGGTGTGACACAGTATAATGCAAGAATGCAAAGCAAGCTTGTAAATGAATAGGCTACTTAAAATAGTTAATTATGTGTCTTATGAGTGGAACCGTCATGGAAGGAGCAAAGAAGAGGTCCAGTCATGAAGACAATCTTGAAGGGAGGATAGGGAATTCAGTGAGTGTACAAAAAAAGTTGGAGTGCCCAGCCGCAGGGAAGTATGGCAACGTGCACAGAGGGGTATATAAAACTAAAACTGTGGTCTTTTTTTTTTTTTTTTTTTCTAGAGAAATAGTTCCATGAGTTCTGGTAACTGCATAAACAGCTCAAACTATGCTCTAGAGCAGTGACTCCCCACCTTTCCAGACTACTGTACCCCTTTCAAGAGTCTGATTTGTTTTGTGTACTCCCAAGTTTTACAAAATCAGACCTAGAAATACAAGTGTCACAGCACACTATTACTGAAAAATTGCTGATTTTCTCATTTTACCATATAATTCTAAAATACATCGATTGGAATATAAATATTGTACTTACATTTCAGCGTATAGTATATAGAGCAGTATAGACAAGTCATTGACTTTATGAAATTTTAGTTTGTACTGACTTTGCTGCTGCTTTTTATGTAGCCTGTTGTAAAACTAGGCAACTATCTAGAGGAGTTGATGTACCCCCGGAAGACCTCTGCATACCCGCAGGGGTACATGTACCCCTGGTTGAGAATCACTGCTCTAGAGGTCTGAAGTCCACAGAGCCAGGGCTAAAATTATGGCTCCAAACTTCGGTTTCTTTTCTAGATGCCTTTGTATACTCTGAATGCAGTATACTAGCGCTTCTCGGCTCTCCAAGCTCTGGTCAAGTGTAGTATCTGTTCCTATGAGCCATTCTCAGTAGGTAGTGAATTATGCTTTACGTTCTTTGATTTAGGTCTTCTCTTTATGTACAGCCAGATTAACAATAATTGAGGCTACAAAAATTACAGGATATAATGTGCATATGCATATCTCTGAAGAGAACAAGGTGCTTATTTAGTATCAAGCCTTTAGTCTATATTAAGCTTGATGTTTTATGCAGCCTAGTGCAATCCCGGTTCTGAAAACTACAGATGTGATGTATGACTTTTGAGATTATCTCCTTATTGCTACTTTAATCCAAACACTGAATAATATGTGCTCCAGCAAGGCCTGAAAGTTTAAGTACCATGTGATAACACAATCCTGCTTTGAAATTCAAGACAGGATAAAACAAACATAAATGCATCTGGGTTTACGGTAGAGTCCTTTCTTCTCATAAATTCAAACTCAGATTTGCAAAGAAAGTGAGAATTTTTGGATGGCACCCTTTAGAAATACCATTATGCCTTTAGTGTAAATAAGAGTTCCTACAAAAGCCTATGAGGAACCTCCAGTAAAATAGCATAAACATTTGAGGCCAGAGAGCAGAAATGTCAATGTGCTTTGTTTACTTTTGAACATTCCAAAATCTGATATGAGGATCCTAGAGGATCACTCCCCATAATTTTATGCCCTCTCTCTGGTCTTGAATCAGTTTGTCCTATGTCAGGCTCCCCTATCTCTGACCAACTGAAGTGATATAGGGTGACAAGTGCCACTATCTACCCGTGGGTCTGATCATGCTTCCTGTGATGAACTTTGTATCCAAGCTTTGGTTTTTGTTTGGCAGACAAACTGTTACTGCCCTCTTGCGTTATTATCTTGTTTTTGGCGCATATTCTGCTGTAGCAAGAGTGAGTAACTCTCTTGACTTGAACATGCGCCAACCTGCCAGAAGGGTCACACTCTGACTCTGCTCCTGACCCAAGGCTGCTGTCATTGCTGTTTGGTCGGAACAAATCCTAATATTTGATCTGAACCAGAGCCAGATAGAAAAGTTTTTCTCCATGATGGACTGATAAGCAAACCTTCATTCTTTGAGGCAGACCCAGTGACACAAAAATAACCATGAATCTAAATTAGCTTCCCAGCCTAAATTGACCAGTAAGAAATATATCTTATTCTCATCTCATTACCCTTTCCTTCCCTGCCAAAAGAAATAAATGTGATGTGTCAAAACAGCTTTCTGATTTCATTTGTAAGGTTCTGGAGTGAAGGAGGCTGGCTGTTACCAAAGTTGTGTATTTCCTATACTTCTCAAGTCTTCTGTAGGGTGGGTTGTGGGAAGAGATTCCTTAAATTGATGCCAGTCTACATATTTACATTTTTTTAATCTGATGTTCTCATTTACTGTATCGAATAATATGGTATGATCTTTTCTGAATTGACCAACCTTCTTGAAAACATGTATACCATCATTTCTCCCCCGGAGAAAAGTGCCAAGAAGAGTCACTCTGGATCTTGCTGTTGTGTATAAAGCCCTTAACCTAGGTCTGAGACACTCGGGAGAGTGCTCCTTTTCTCCACTCACCCTTTCAAGGCAACCTAGATTGGCTAGGTTGTCGATGGAATCTTGAGACTGAGGCTGGGTCTACACTACCTGCCTGAATCGGGGGGTAGAAATCGACCTCGCGGGGATCGATTTATCACGTCCCATTGGGACGCGACAATCGATCCCCGAATCGACGCTCTTACTCCACCAGTGGAGGTGGGAGTAAGCGCCGTCGACGGGAAGCCGCAGAGGTCGATTTTGCCGCCGTCCTCACAGCGGGGTAAGTCGGCTGTGATACGTCGAATTCAGCTACGCTATTCACGTAGCTGAATTAGCGTATCTTAAATCGACTCCCCCCTGTAGTGTAGATGTAGCCTGAGATCAGAACTGGGTATGGGTAAAAGCTTTACCTTTGGTTCATGGACAGAGGCTGTGTCTATACTTAAACCTGTGCAGCACTTCAGTGTGGACGCTCACTACTGTGATGGGAGGGGTTCTCCTGTCACCGTAATTAATCCACCTCCCTGAGAGGCAGTAGCGAGGTTGACAGTAGATTTCTTCTGTCAACCTACTGCTGTCTACATTGCGGATTATGTCAAAATAGCTACGTCGTTTGGGTGTGAATTTTTCACACGCTTGAGAGACATAGCTATGCCAATATGTTTTCAGTGTAGACCAGTCCAGAGTCTGTGCAATTCCTTCTTAGTCAGTCTGCTAGACTTCATTTGCAACTATTTGCAGGGCTCACTAAAAGGCACTTCTGTTTGGCTATTTATAACCAAGGCCCTACCAATTTCATGACTGTGAAAAACATGTCACAGACCATGAAATAAGACCTTCCCCGTGAAATCTGATCTCCCGATGCTTCTGGGGGCACCCCAGCTGTGGGGTTGGGCTGAGGAGGGACAGGACTTGTTCTTCCCCTGCACCGTCGCTCTTGGTGGGAAGATCAGACATACCTCCAGAGGCAGCACAGAAGTGAGGGTGGTAGAACCTCACTTCTGTGCTGCAGCAGCCCTGGAGCTGTGCTTGGGGCTTTCGCGGCCCCCCCCCCCAACGGCTCCTGCTGTGGCTCAGGGCGCCTGGTCACGGGGCTTCTGCCCCCTGCGGCTCCCGGAGCGCCCATGTGTGCTAATCCATCACTGGCTGGGGCTAGCAGCTAGGAGTCCCTTGCTGGGGTGCTCACAGCAACACGGGCAGATCAGCTTCACATCCATCTCTGTGAGCCTCCTCCCATTTCAGGAACCTTCGGGGCTGCTGCGCAGCTGTGAAGGCATCACAGAAGTGAGGTGGCAATCCCATTACCCCCCTATAACAGCTTTGTGACTTCCCCCTCCCTCCCCCCTTGATCACCTTTTAGGTCAGACCCCCATGGTTACAACATCGTGAAATTTCAGATCTAAACATCTGAAATAGTGAAATTGACAATTTTAAAAACCTTCTGACCATGAAATTGACCAAAAATGGACCTTGAATTTGGTAGGGCTCTACTTGTGACCATATTGTCCCCATCCCTGTTTGTACTATCATAGTGCCTACTAGCCCTAGTTATTGATCAGCACCCTATTGTGCTAGGTATGTCCTGAGAGACTTTTGCTCAGTTTTGTTGGTATGGCTGGCTCCTCTAAGAATTAAGCTTTGTTTAATTGGATTTTTTTTTTTTTAAAGTTAGGTTACTACGGAAAATATCCCAGATACTGCTTTTGGAAAGGGTGCTTCATAAGCTTTAGTTCCTATATTTGAAAGTGATTTTGAACTTGAAGCTGAAAGGGGAGTTATGGGGAAAGTTGAAGTTTCTAGTTAACATGTTATCTTCAATTTCATATTTAATTGGTTGTATTTCTTTCTCCGATCTGAGAGCCCTATAATTAACTGTATTTTTGTCTGTTTTTTTCTTACATGTGCCCCTTCTCATTTGTCCCTGATGATGATTCCTCTGGGAACTGCAGAAGCCAGCCAAAGGTAAGTTTTTGATTTCACTTTAAACCAGTGTTGTGAAAAGCTGTGGTATATTACTTGTTCAGCCTTCAAATATCCAAATATTTACTATTTTGTTTAAAAAGTGCAGTTGATCAGCTGTTGTTTCTCAAAAGAAAAACAAAAAAGCTCCAAACCACACATTCCTCAAAAAATTTCCTTGCTGCAGAGTCTAGCCAAAAAATGAGTCTCAGAAACAAGTGAGAACATAGTTGCGTATTAAGCATTGAGGACTGTGAATGAATGGACTGCTTGTCTTAAAGCATTTTCTGGTATCTGCATTAGAGCAAAGTCATTGCTGCTGACTTATGTTCCCTTCATTTTTTGCATTTTATATGCAGATGCTTCTTATCTCCTTTTCCCACCTCTAAAAATGTAGTTTATTGGCATGTTTATATACTCATGGCTTATTGTTTTAAACAACTTGTAAATGGGACTGATAAAATAAACCATATAAAAATTACAGTAAAGTAAATTAGCTTGAATTTGATTAAGCGCAAAAAGAGAAAGCAAATGAAGGTGTCTTGTGGAGGATGGTTAGAATGGCAGCAGAGGCATATATATCAGCTAACCATGGCTAACAAAACAAGGATACCTTTTTTGGTTTGATTTGACTACAGTTTTTATAAGATGTCCTGTTTGTTTTATTACAGGTGTTTGCTTACGATCACTGTTTCTGGTCTTTGGATGAATCTGTAAAAGAAAAATATGCAGGTAATATTTACTGTAGTTTTGTGATTGCACTCTGTTTACGTGACAGCTATGAAAAGGAAAGTATAAGAAATCAGTTTGCAAACACCTAGAAGATACTGAGGTGATAAGGAACAGTCAGCATGGATTTGTCAAGAACAAATCGTGTCAAACCAATGTGAGAGCTTTCCTTGACAGGGTAACAAGCCTTGGGGATGGGGGGAAGTGGTAGATGTGGTAACAAGCCTTGCGGATGGGGGGAAGCGGTAGATGTGGTCGGTCTGTCTGTCTATCTAACTTTAGTAAGGCTTTTGATACTGTCTTGCATGACCTTCTCATAAACAAACTAGGGAAATACAACCTAGATGGCGCTACTGTAAGGTGGGTGCATAACTGGTTGGAAAATTGTTCCAAGAGAGTAGTTATCATTGTTTCACAGTCATGCTGGAAGGGCATAACGAGTGGGGTCCCGCAGGGATCAGTTCTGGGTCCAGTTCTGTTCAATATCTTCATCAATGATTTAGATAATGGCATAGAGAGTACACTTATAAAGTTTGTAGACGATACCAAAGTGGGGAGGGGTTGCAAGTGCTTTGGAGGATAGGATTAAAATTCAAAATGATCTGGAGAAACTGGAGAAATGGTCTGAAGTAAATAGGATGCAATTCAATAAGGACAAATGCAAAGTACTCCACTTAGGAAGAAACAATCAGTTGCACACATACAAAATGGGAAATGACTGCCTAGGAAGGAGTACTGTGGAAAGGGATCTGGGGCTCATAGTGGATCATAAGCTACATATGAGTCAACAGTGTAACACAGTTGCAAAAAAGGCAAACCTCATTCTGTGATTTATTAGCAGGAGTATTGTCAGCAAGACACGAGAAGTAATTCTTCTGCTTTACTCTGCACTGATTAGGCCTCAACTGGAGTATTGTGTCTAGATCTCGGTGCCACATTTCAGGAAGGATGTGGACAAATTGGAGAAAGTCCAGAGAAGAGCAACAAAAATGATTAAAGGTCTAGAAAACATGACCTATGAGGGAAGGCTGAAAAAATTGGGTTTGTTTAGTCTGGTGAAGAGACGACTAAGAGGGGACAGGATAACAGTTTTCAAGTACATAAAAGGTTGTAACAAGGAGGAGGGAGAAAAATTGTTCTTCTTAACCTCTGAGGATTGGACGAAGCAATGGGCTTAAAATTGCAGCAAGGGCAGTTTAGGTTGGACATTAGGAAAAACTTCCTAATTGTCAGGGTGGTTAAGCACTGAAATAAATTGCCTAGAGAGGTTGTGGAATCTCCATCATTGGGGATTTTTAAGAGCAGGTTAGACAAACACCTGTCAGGGATGGTCTAGATAATACATAGTCCTGCCTTGAGTGCAGGGGACTGGACTAGATGACCTCTCAAGGTCCCTTCCACTTCTATGATTCTATGATAATTACAATCCTGTATTTGGTAAAGGGAAAAGACCATATGGCATGGAAAACCTTTTCTTCATGTGGTTGCCCATTGTCAAGAGAGAAGGCAAAGTCTTAAAACTGTTACCTTAATCCTTCCTTCTTTCTAGCCAAACATAATGTTTAGAGTAGTGGCAGCCAATAAACATGCATTACAATCTATATACAGTATAAGTAATTGATGAATGTAACTAATTTGCCGTTTTGATTCATACGGATATCTCCATTAAAATACTTAATCCAGATATATGAATTAAAACATTTCTATTCCTATTTCTGCCCATAATTTGAGGATCAATGCCAAGTTCACCTTTGTGGTAAAGCTTGCCCCCACTCAGGCCAGTTCAGCAACACACGAGTAATTTCCCTGTAGTACCTTTCAGAACTGGGACCTAATTCTTTAGTGGTTTAAGTTGCAGTGGTTTAAAAGGTCCAATCCTGCTCCCACTGAAGTCAATGTGAGTTTTATTGATCTGAATGAGAGCAAGACTGGGCCTTGTATACCCAAACATGGGTCCTGATCCTACAAATCAGTGCTGTATGTGAAGAGAAGAAGTACAGTATAACTAAATTCATGGACTACTTTGGTCATCGAGTGAAAGAAATTTTTCAGGGAAGGGAAAACTTTTTGAGAGAGGAGTTCTGAATATTTGATGTATGATCTAAAGTATCTTGCCATTTGCCTATGTGTTGCATAATTATCAGAATGACACATTCTTTGACAGTTAACAAGACTTGTGGATGAGGAGAAGCAGTAGATGTGATGCATCTCAAATTTAGTAAGGTTTTTGATACTGTCTCACACGACCTTCTCGTAAACAAACTAGGGCAGCGTAGCATAGATGAACCTACTATAAGGTGGGTGGACAACTGATTGCAAAACCGTACTCAAGAGTAGTTCCTCAGTGGGTTCATAGGAAGGCTGGAAGAGCATATCGAGTGGAGGGCATATCAGGGATCTGTCCTGGTTCCAGTTCTATTCAATATGTTCCAAAATGATTTGGATAATGGCATCGAGAGTACCCTTACAAAGTTTGCACATGATACCAAGCTGGGAGAGATTGCAAATATTTTGGAGGACAGGATTAGAATTCAAAATGGATCTTGACAAATGGTCTGAAATAAATAGGATGAAATTTAATAAGGACAAATGCAAAGTACTGCACTTATGAAGGACGAATCAGTTGCACAAATACAAAATGAGAAATGACTGCCTAGGAAGGAGGACTGCGGAAAAGGATATGGGGGCTATAGTGGATCACAAACTAAATATGAGTCATCAGCATAATACTGTTATAAAAAACTTATAATTTTGGATGTATTATCAGTAGTGTTGTAAGCAAGACGCAAGAATTCTTTCTACTTTACTCAACAATGACCAGGCTTCAACTAGAGCATTGTGTCCCATTCTGGGCACCACATTTCGGGAAAGATGTGGAGAAAGTCCAGAGGAGAGCAACAAAAATGATTTAAGGTGTAGAAAACATGACCTATGAGGAAAAATTGAAAAAATTGGGCTTGTTTAAAGGAGAAGAGATGACTGAGGGGGTACATAACAGTCTTCAATTAGGTAAAAGGCTGTTATAAACAGGAAGGTGATAAGTTCTCTTTAACCACTGATGGCAGGACAAGAAGTAATGAGCTTAAATTGCAGGAAGGGAGATTTAGGTTAGGCGTTAGGAAAAACTTCCTAACTGTAAGGGTAATTAAGCACTGGATTGGACTAGCTGGGGAGATTGTGGAATCTCCATCATTGGACGTTTTTTTAACAGGTTAGGGTTAGGGAGTGGTCTGAGTAATACTTTGCCCTGCCTCAGTGCAAAGGACTGAATTATCCTCTGACTTTATCGAGGTTCCTTCCAGTCCTACATTTCTATGATTCTGTGATTCACTGTATTACTGCTTTAAACAAAATCAAATTGACAAACTTTCCTCCACTCTAGCTGGAAAAGAGGCAAACAAAAATTTTAAGGGTGGCTAGGTTTACACATACTGTTACAGTAGAAAAACTATCCTATATTTTGTTGATCCACATGCCTTATACTGTAATTCTCTCCAACATAATTACGGTCTCTTCTCTGCAAAGATTTAATAACAGTGATATGGCAAAGTCTATTACTATATTTTCACTTATATTACAGAATACTGTAAAGTACACTTACTAGTAGTCCATAAAGTATTACCTTAAATTTAAAATTAAACTGCAATTGTCAAAATAAATGAATGAGGTACATTTTGTGGGTCTTTCTTTGTTTTGCTGATGCACAAAATTCTGTAATTGTCAATAGATGGTAGTTGAGGTTCTAGTGGGTCTGTGGATTGCTAATATTGTGTTCATAGAAAACACAGATACAGAACCAGTTTCTAGCTTAATTCCACGGACTTCAGTGTAGTTATTCCAGATTTATATCCATTGTCCCTCTCTCAAACACCCTACTGTCTAATTGAGATACATTATGAAAGATGTAAATCTTTCATACAGTTAGTTCTTTTCGCCTGATTTGGAGTCTGAAAGGCATGACTGTAAAAGCAGTTATCATTTTTCCCTGAACGTCAGCTTTTATTTTATTTTTAGGTCAAGATGTTGTTTTCAAGTGCCTTGGAGAGAATATTCTTCAGAATGCCTTTGAGGGCTACAATGCATGTATCTTTGCCTATGGACAGACTGGTAAGTCATTGCAGAGTGTAAAAAGTGCTGTTGATGAGAAACGTGTTGTGACAGAAATAGTTGTTCTTGGGTTAGCTTTTTGACATTGCTAGGTTTTTCCCAATATAGCAATGTAGATAAGATGTGGGCTTTTTTCTGTTTGTTTTGTGTTGGGGCTGAGATCAGAAGGCATTTTGGAATAACATTGCTAATTTCTGATGCCCTGCTACCCTGCTTTCCCAAGCTGTGGATAAGTGTCTCCTGAATGTTCTGGTTCATGAATGTCCTTGGGTTTGTTGTATCTTTAATATTCTGTAATGGAAGATCCCTGACTCTGCCTTTAGATAGTCATTGCTCATCATTTTTTAATTTGATAAACAAAGATGGCTTGGCTTGTTCAATTGGCTTACTTGAACTGTGTAGTTATGAAACTCAGGTAGGCATTAAATTGATGTCCATGATAAGGATGCATCTCTCTAAGTGCTTTCAATCAATTTAAGTAGCTTGGCTTTTCCTTTTCAGCTTGATTTAATAAGTAGGTTGTCCTTTTATTGGTGTCTTGGTTCCTTTATATATAGAAAATTGTGTTTAAAGAATATTCAATGAAAAGTTCCAAACCATTCTTTGCCCTTTACTTCCCCCTTATTCCCATCACCTAAAAATATCTGTTGTAAAAGCAATAACACTAGTTTCAAATGCACAGGGTCTGGAAAATCTTACACAATGATGGGTACAGCCGACCAGCCTGGATTAATCCCAAGACTCTGCAGTGGTCTCTTTGAAAGAGCACAGAAAGAGGAAAACGAAGAACAGAGTTTCAAAGTGGAAGTGTCCTACATGGAGATTTACAATGAGAAAGTTAGAGATCTCCTTGACCCCAAAGGGTAAGCAGTATACATATAGAGGATGCTTGACCTCGGACAATGTAACACGTTCTTGTTTCCATGAGCTACGGCTGTCTCCCTACCTTGCCCTAACGGACTCCCTCTCAGGCATCCTATCAGGGTACAAGACTTATCCCTGTTATGGGATTGTGTTGTCTTCCTGACTGCCCCCTAGACCCCCCCACAAATAGCTGCTTTATTATTATTTAAAGGCCCAATATGTGCCAAACACTTACTCTCATGCTCACATTGATTTTCATGAAGTGAGGTACGGGGAAATGCCAACACTGTATGTATAGACAATTGGGTTTTTTGTCTAGAGCACTATAACACTAAAGCATTCCTGCTTTGAATGGTAGCTAGAGGGTCTTGTCATCTTGTCTATTCCTTTGAATGGTAAGTTGATAAAAATTGTGGTTTTACTAAAAACCTTATTGTACTTGGATAGCTGCACTTTTATAAGTACAAATCTTTTTTATTTATTTTTTTAAACAGAAGCCGTCAGTCATTAAAAGTTAGAGAGCACAACGTCTTTGGTCCTTATGTAGATGGACTATCTAAACTGGCTGTCGCCAGCTACAAGGTAAGGGACGATTTTAGGGACGGAATAGATCTTGAAACTGGTAATTCTTATCGTCGCTGCTCAAGTATTGTTAATAGTAGCGAGATTATTTTTATATTATGTTTCTGTAATTAAGGGATTAAGAGAGAATATGCTTAAAGAAATCCTTTATGAAAGTCTTAAACATGTGAGTACTGCTCTTACCACCTAACATTGGGAAGAAGAAAAAAAAGGAAATGGAAGATTTACAAGGCTGATTTAATAGTTCTTCCTTACTGCAACCTTAACTCGTAGTCTCAGTAACCTAGGCTATACAAACAAAAACAGTTTGGACATGGAACAGGCTCACAAGGAAGGGTGGTAGGAAGCCTTTGCTGGAGAAAGTAATACCCAGCTATGTGCTTTGAGGCTTGGTTAAGTCATTTCATCTCTCTGTACCTCCATTTCCTCAGTTGGGAACAAAGGATTAACTAGTCAGTATTTGTAAAGCACTTAAGATCCTTGGATGGAATGTACTAAATAAATGAAGAGTATTATTGATGATCATGTAGCAACCCTGTGTTCAATCTAAGTAATTCAGATTCTAAGGATTGTGCAGCACAATGTCTTCGTGGAGCTATTTGATATGCTGTCAGAAAAGCTAGTAATTAGAAGATGGAATTACAAAACTCTTATGCCTCTAAGCAGACACACTTGTAATACAGAGGTTGGTTCATGAGTACTGTTATGAGCACCCTGTTAATTCTTCCAGTCCTTACTACTACTTTCTATAAATAAAATTATTTCGTGTACATTTTCCATACGCACTACACGGCAGTCTTGCAAAATTCCACACACACAGCGCAGGAAAGCAGTGTGGTTTTGTTTTGCTTTTTCCTTCCCCAGCATCATCCTGCTAAAGGTTGGGTGAATAGATTTTGTGTAGGGGCAGTAAGTCTGTGACCATTTTGCAAGATTGATGTACAACATGCAGCTCCTATGCCTCAGGGTGTCTCTGAAGCCACTGATGAATTATGGCATTCTAGGACTTCCAAGCTTTTGTCCAGGAGAGAAACATCATAATCTGTTCTGTTGATTGTTTTGCTTTTATAAAATGTAAGGTTCTAGGTATGAATTAAAATGCATGTTAATGAAAAGCTCTAACTACTGAGTGAGCTAAAGTGCTGCACTATTGGGCGGAGGGATAGCTCAATGGTTTGAGCATTGGCCTGTTAAACCCAGGGTTGTGAGTTCAATCCTTAAGGGGGCCACTTAGGGATCTGGGGCAAAAATCTGTCTGGGGATTGGTCCTGCTTTGAGCAGGGGGTTGGACTAGATAACCTTCTGAGGTACCTTCCAACCCTGATATTCTATGATTTCACAAATGAAATGCCATTTTACTTTGTTCATTGCAGTAAATTAATGTTTTTTTCAGCCAGCCAACCAATAAAAAGGAATACAGTATCCCCCACCTTGAGACCCAAATAAAGTTAATGGATAACATACAAATAGTGATGTTGTTTAAATTGAATTAGGCTCAGTGACTGTTTACTGCTTACTCTTTAATTTAAAATAGTACAATATTGTGATTTCATCTTTAGAGACTTAAAAAAAAATCCAACCCAGGGAGAAACTTGTCTATTTTACGTTTAACAAAATTATTTTTACTATCTATTGAAGTAGTTTAGTGAAAGCAATGTTTGTGCAGATAGTGCCTAGCACATATTATTAAAGGCCTTACGATTTTATTTAGGACATAGAGTCTTTGATGTCAGAAGGTAACAAATCTCGAACAGTGGCTGCAACCAACATGAATGAAGAGAGCAGTCGGTCACATGCAGTCTTCAAGATCATCCTCACACACACACTGTATGATGTACAATCAGGGGTAAGTAATAGCAGGAGATTTGCAGGTAGAGACTTTGACCTCTGATGTCTAATCCAAGCTACAGATTCTAATCATGGCTTTTGTAACATGTTCCAATAGACTGCTGTGCTTGTGCACATATGTAATGAAGCTAGGTTTATTTAGACGTTTTGATGGATGTGTAAGATTGAAATCTGGCTTTTGAAATGCAATGATATAAGGATGCAAGCCCAAAGCTGCAGTAGATTTAATGAGGATTCCTCAATCCTAATATCTGAAGCAATAAAACATGTATTTTAAAACAAGAGTTTGTAATATAGATTTGGGGGCTAGATGGAAAGTAAAACTTCTGTGAAACTGACTCAGCATCCTCCAGATCCCTCCTTAAAGTACCCCTTTGCCACGGTGCCTAGAAAAAGTTTGACAACGGTCAGGCTGCTGATGTGCTGAAACCAGTGCCTATCACACTGACCAATATTGTCTGTTTTCTTGTACTCCCCTGTTGGTCAGTCTGTATCCATCTGTTGCCTCTTTTCTTATGTTTAGATTGTAATCTCTTTGGGCACAGACTGTTGTTTTGTGCTGTGTTTGTACTGCACCTAGCACAGTGGGGTCCTGTTCCACGACTGGGGCTCCTAAGCGCTACAGTAATACTAGTGTAATAATAATAGTGTGTGGGGGGGAGTGGGAAACTGAAGTGTTGGAAGAGTGTTTGAATGTAAAACTGGCTTTGTCCTTTACGAGAAAATATTTGATGGAGATATTTTGTGATGGTATCAGAATGAAGAAACCTTTGTGCAGGTATGAAGATTTCAGGTTGTAATTTTTTTCATGGACTATTTCCAAATGTATGTTTGCTGAAAATGTTACAAAGATTTCACCTTCTCAGTCAGGAGTACTTTCTTTCCTTTAATTTTGTTTACCTGTTTTTGATGAGAAACATATTTAAACTTTTCCGTTTTCTTTTACTTAACCTCTGCAACCTAGCGGTGACGGCATAACAAATTTAACTTGAAAATACAAAAATTGGAGAGAACTTCTGAAGAAAGACTTAAACAAGTTTGGTTAATCTTATTAAGCTAAATTTATCTTTTTCCTGTTAGCCACGTGGTAAGCTTGTGGCCCTTCTAAAGGCAAAGCTAAAAATGATCAGGTAACCAGTCTTAAGCTTCACAACTCTTTTGTCTCATCAGTCCCCAGGAGTCAGTAAAATAATCAGATGTAGGAATAGAGAGCATACTGATCAAATTTTCAGATAACACAAAGCTGGAAGTGATGGGGTTGCAAAACTTCAGATGATAGAGCAAAAATTCAAAGGGATCTTGATAAATTGGAGAACTGGGCTATAGACAACAAAATGAAATTCAACGAAGACAAATGTAAGGTGCCACATTTCTTAAGGAAGAAAAAACAAATTCACAAATACAGAATGGGGGATAACTGGCCTGGCACCTGCCCTGCAGAGAAGTATCTGGGAGTTGTGGTTGATCAGAACTTCAACATGAGTCAATGTGCTGCTGCAAAATAAAAATAAAAATAAAAAATGCAATTTTGGGTTGCATTAACAGAGGCATAGCATGCAAGTCACAGGAGATGATAGTTCTGCTGAGTAGACCTCAGCTGTATTACTGTATCCAATTTTGGTCACCGCTGTATAGAAAGGATGTAGAGAAACTGGAGAGGATCCAGAGGTGAACGACAAAAATGGAATGCAATCTGTATGAGCAAAGGCTGAAGGAACTGGGTATGCTTAGTTTGGAAAAGAGGAGATTAAGGGGGATATGATAGCGATCTTCAAATACCTGAAAAGCTGCCATAAAAAAGATGGAGAAAAATTGTTCTCTCTTGCCCCAGAGGGTAGGACAAGAGTCAATGGGTTCAAACTACAGCAGAGCAGATTTAGATTAAAGCTCAGGAAAAACTTCCTAACTGTAAGAACAGTAGGACAATGGCGCAAACTGCCGAGGGAAGTCGTGGAAGCGCCTTCACTGGAGATTTTTCAAGAAGAGGCTGGATAGCCATCTGTCATGGTTTGTTTAGACACAAGAAGTCCTACATCTTGGCAGGGGGTTAGACTAGATGACACTTTTGGTCCCTTCTAACCCTATGGTTCTATGAGTTTGATTCTATGAAAAGTAAACAATGTAATGCTAGCTGAACATCCAACATCATTGATTAAATTCTCCCCTCACTTTGAGGAGAGTGTGGGAAAACAAATTATACTGAATGTAGAATTAACATAAAGCATTTAGCTTAAATGAGTTTTATTCTTTGATTTCACACACACACCCAATTCGTGCCCCCCCCCGTCTACCCGGATGTGGGAATGTGTGGGGTCTGGGAATGATGGGTACCAGGCAGGAAATAGGTCTTTTCCGCTTGTGCTCTGTTTGCAGCCCCCATGGTTAATGGTTGAACAAGGAAGAACCAGAAAAAACCCCAACAAAAACTATTAATCACATTCTGTATTTTTTTTGTTGATTAAGCTATTTTGGGTTTTAAATAAGGGTTTTGTCCCTCTCGGCTCCACTGCTTTTGTCTGATTCCCTCGAAGAAATTTGAATTCTGGGCACATTTTCTCAGTTTGTTATGGAAATATGTCTCAGATTCAGTGTTAGGACTCCACTGCTCTATCTAATATGGGTTCTGAAGTGTGTGTGTGTGTGTGTGTGTGTGTTCATGTCACCTGCATAATTTAGTAAGATTTTGTCTGTCTTATATTTCCTGAATATTGAGTGCCTAAAAGTGGTATTCATCTGAATAGCTGATCTATACAGTAGTGTTTCCCCCAAAGTGCTCTCCAACTCCTGTTCTCCATTTCCTTATTTCTCTCTCCTCACATCCTTAATCTTTTTCTTATTGTCTAACCATTTTCTTTCTTTCATTCTATAACTCCCCTCACCCCCACCCACCATGCTATATTTCTCTCTCAATTCTATCTTTCCCCCCAGCCTCCAGATCACTCTCTTTGCTGTGTCATACTCCCTACAATGCTGAACTTTTCATGGTTCTCTAGTTTTTCTGTTGTTACATTGCATTTTTGGTTTCTTTGATGCTTCTGGTTAGGCTTGGCCCAAGATAGTTGTTTTGCTTTCCTCGTTCCCGTCCTGTCCTCCAGTGACCACCCTGCTGACTATGCAGTTATATGAATTTCTGGAACACTGGGCTTCTGGCCTGGCTTTTTTTTTCTGCTGTCTTCGGGTTCTGAAATTAGATGATCCAACATACAGTGCTATGAGATGGAAGTGCAACGTACTTTGAGACAAAGTTACATTTTCAAAAGTAGCTATATCCCAGTGGAAAAAATCAGTCGCATTGATTTTTTTTTTTCAATGAGACACAAGTACTTTTGAAAATGTAATTATACTCTTAGCACTTGCATATTACAGTGATGGGAGCTAAAGAAAAGCTTAAGATACCTGTTAATTTAAGGGAAATCCAAATCCCAGGTTGAATGTTTGGAAAAATTTATTTTTGGTCCAGCTATAACTTGCAAGAGTAATAAGAATTTATGATAAAACTTCTATTGAGTTAAAGTTGAGAGTTGAAAATTTTTTAATCAGCTTGAAATTCCTTCTTTAAGGAGAAGGTCTTTGGAGGGGATGTGGGAAACCTTGCCTGTCATCTTAGTCTTTTTGTAAATATCTGCCCTTCATAAAATGTGGAATTATTACATACTTCCTGCTTTGCTCATTCTTATTTTCAGAGGGATGCAGTCTGAGCACTGGACTGGGAATCAGGGTCAAAACTGGGGGGCTGTTTATGCTACAAGCACTACAGCAGCACAGCCATGGCACTATAGCTACGTTGCTGTAGTGTATGGGTTATTTATGTCGCGGTAGTAAATCCACCTTCTTAAGAGGCAATAGCTAGGTTGATGGAAAAATTCATTTGTCAACCTAAAGGTGTCTATAGCAGGATTTAAGTCAGCCTATCTATCTCTCTCAAGGGTAAGAATTTTTCACACCTCTGAGTGGCATAGCTAAATCATCCTAAAGTTTAAGTGTACAGCAGGCCTGAGATTGGCATTCAGGAGTCTTGACTCCCACTGTCGCTTTGGACAAGCAACAGTTTTCTCATCTTGAAAATAGGAATCAAAGTTAGAGATGTTGCCCCCGATTAGATTGAGCATCCTGATCTGTGACTCCTGGTCCATTGCCTGTGTTCCCTCTTCCCACTGTTCTTGCTTTATACCTGTCTGATACTGGCTGTGTTCCTCCCTTCTGGTACTTAGGTGTCCAGCTAGAGGTCTTGGAGTTCTTTGTGCATCCCACATTACCACTTTTGAGGCAGCAACTAAAGTAATAGATTATTTTTGATTCAAAACGCTATGTTTAAATATTCAATACTTGTTATAATATTTATTTTAAAATGTGTCGGATAAAAGGTCGGAAGTAAGGAATACAACCTGCATTCTTATTTGAAAACATGGCAAACTGTGAAACTTAACTAGAAATTTGAGTGAGTAAAATCTTTTAACAGTAACTCTTCTCTTGTCCATTCCTCAGACATCGGGTGAGAAAGTGGGCAAACTGAGTCTGGTGGACTTAGCGGGCAGCGAAAGGGCAACTAAGACTGGTGCCGCAGGTGACAGGCTGAAGGAAGGAAGCAACATTAACAAGTAAGGCTTTTAATGATTTTTCTGACTGCTGTTTTGTTAAAATAGGCAATAAAGGAAAGCTACATCAAACTTGTAATGCACTGTTTAATCAGTAAGATTTCTGCAAGGTACTTGTAACCAATTCAGGCTTTTTTGAGGTTGTTTTCTATTTGAATGTTATTTCTATAGAAATTCTTAAGTGATCTGTGCACATTTTAAGTATTTAAAATGTGTTTTATGCTGGCTTATACTCCCTGCAACAGTTATGCATGTAATTTGTGTTGCAAGGACATGATTATAAAGGCTGAAAACTTTTTATCTTGTGAGTTTCTCACATAGAAAATTGATACATTGCTAAGCAATGTAGCTTGTGTTGGAAGAGAATATTAGTGGAAATGCCACTGACTAACCTTTTTTTAATAGCTGCTTTTTGGAAAAGCAGGGTCTTGCCTTACTTCTGACACTCCTGCACTTGCAGTTATCTTCATGAATAGAGACTAATAATTATGGCAAATTGATGTGTACGAAAAGGGGACTAGATGGAGACCACCAAACTAAATTTCATTTGTCTGAAGTGGGTGTTGGATGGGCAAGGGCTGTTACTGCTTTAGGTATTTGTTACACTGAAGATGTCGGTACTAATCAGATAAATATTAATTCTGTGAAACTGAGATAAAGTTACTCTACTGAAATGACAATGGTTTTGTTCTTCTTTGAGTGATTACACGTGCATTCCACTCTTGGTGTGCGTGTGCCATGAGCACAATGGTCAGAAATTTTCCCCTCGGCAGTAGGCATCAGACCAGCTCAAGTGCCATCTGCTGCTACACACCACCACATGCAGTATAAAAGGCAAAGCCACTCCCGGCCCCCCTCAGTTCCTTCTTGCTGCCCATGACAGTTGTTAGAATCTGGTCTTGCTTTAGCAAGTTCTCGGTGTTTTTTTCTTATATATAGTTACCTAGTTACATAGTTCTTGGTGTGTGTTAGTGATAGATACGTTTGTTTAGTATCCGTTAGTTTTTTCTCGGTTCCCCAATTTTGGGGTTCCGTTTCAGTACCAAGGAATTCCTCGGTCCCAGGCTTCAAGCCCTGTCTGTCTTACTCAAAGCTGATGCCTACGAGCAAGCTGCGCTCTAGTTGTTTAAAGTGTTTCGGTGAGACTCACGTTAGGGATCTGTGCCAGATTGACAAGGACTTCAAGCCGAGAACCAAAAGAGATGGAGAGGCTAGGCGGAAGTTCTTTTGATGGAGGCTGCTCTGAGCACACCTTCAGAGTCTTCTCGGTCAGAGAGGGTACTGAGCACTTTGGCATGTGTGAGCAGTACACCTCCATTGCTGTCTGAGTCCCGGCACTGCTCATCCTTGCGGGTGTCCAGGAAGAAACAGAAGCCTTCCAAAGACATTGCTGGGAGAGGCAGATCTCTGATCCCTAAGTCTGCCAAGAAAGGGGGCAAAGTGTTGACTAGAGTGCAATCAAAATCGAAGCACTCTTCCACTCACTTTTTGGATAAAATGGCACCATTGATTCAGGCATTGAGGCAGACAACATTGAGTCCCGGGCCCAAAGCGGCACATTTATCATCTGCAGCACCATCTTAATCTCTTGTGAACTGGTCAGTGACTATTCCAGTACCATCCATGCCAGAGGCATTTGCAGCTGCAAGGAACTTGCTGAGCTTATCGGCGCTGCTCTCCCAAGTGGGGCAGATCTCTCCTACAGTATAGGTAGACCCGTTCAGCATCAGTCTCCTTCCCCTTTGTTTGCAAACCATCTCTCCTATTTCTTCAGACCAATGGGTCTTATGTACCGTGGAAATAGGGTACACTCTGCAGTTTGTTTCTTTCCGTATTCAGGAACCACTCTCACTAGGTGCTCCTCCTTCAGGAAGTTCAAACTCTCATCTGGGTGGGAGCCACAAAAGAGGTTCCTCAAAGTCACAGAGGAACAGGGATTTATTCCTGTTATTTTCTAATACTGAAAGCAAAGGGATGTCTCAGGCCAATTTTAGGACCACATCAGCTCATCAGATATCTCAAAAAGATAATTTTGTATTGTATCACTAGCTTCCATTTTCCCCTTCCTGTATCCTGGAGACTGCTATGCTACCCTCGACTTAAATAATGCCTGTTTCCATTTGAGGATTTATCAAGACCATAGGAAGTATGTCAGATTCTTGGTAAACCAATCTTGCTACCAGTTCACAGTGCTGCCTTTCAGCCTGTTGGCAGCTCCCTGGATTTTCACAAAATGTATGGGACTGGTAGCTGCCTTCCTGAGAAAGTTAGGAGTATATATCTATCCCTATCTGGACTACTGGCTTGCGAGAATCCATTTCAAGATTCAGGTACTATAATTCTTATCCAGTCAAATTGTAAGGCACTGGGACTGTTGAGCAACTCAGAAAAGTCTGTCCTCTCACCCGTTCAGAGGAGAGAGTTTATAGGGGCTATACTGGATGCGCGCACACCAACCAAGAGTGGCATGGATATGTGCAACACATCTCCAAGAACAACAGTTACAGAATAGATAAGTAAGCTGCTTCTTCGGGTAGTGTCCCTATGGGTGCTCCACTGTAGGTGCGCCTGCGTCCCTGCACAGTTGATCAGACAACTTTGGTAGCCGTCTGTCCCACCCATGCATGCACTGCTCCTCACCTGCCACAAAGCTAGCCAGCATGTGTGAGCAATCCCTCCGCAGTTCCTTCTGTTTGGCCATGTCTAAAAAAGAAGAAGAAAGAGTTTGCTTCCCACCAACCCCGATGGGGGTGACCTCCCCCCCCGGACAAGGGTATGCCCGGCTCCCCGGGCTTCAAAAAGTGCCTCAGTTGCATGGAATCTATCCCAGTGACTGATGGACACTCGCAGTGCATTCGCTGCCTGGGAGAAAAGCACATTCCACAAAAGTGTGGCTTGTGCCAGCAGCTGAAACCTAGGTCCAGGAAAGACAGAGAGTTAATTCTCAAACTCCTGCTCATGGAGTTGGTGTTTCAACCCCTGAGTCCCTGCAGAAACTCTCACCACAACCCTCTACATCGAAGGGAGGTGAGCCTAGAGAGATGAGCTACTCACACAAGGCCTCTAAGAGAAGGTCTGTGAGTCCCCGTAGCGAGCCCTGATGGAGCTGAAAACTATTTCCAGCTTCATCGGTATCATTGGTACCAACAGCACCAAAGCCATCTAAAACTGGTACCCAGGGCACAAGCGGTACCATGTGACAGAGAAAATTTGACTGCCCAAAGACCCAATAGGCATGGGCAAAGAAGCATCGGTACTGCAGGGGCATGAAAAACATAGAAGATCCGCCCCGGGGAAGGCTCCATCGGTATGGATATCAGCACTGGTACCGACTCCGGTGCATCTGGCATCAATGGATTTTGCGGCCAAGTCCACATCTCCAACTCCACCGGTGCAAGTCTCTCTGCACTAACAACTACTGGCAGTACCGACGCCATCTGCACCACTGGATTTCCAATGCGTGATAGATCTTTCAGTGTCCAACGCACCTGACTCACCGCTACTCCGTATCGGGGCCCCAGTACCAAGTTTGCCCAGAGCCCTGGACTCACTGACCTCTCCCTGCCGTGCACTGCTTTTCTCATCATCAGAGTCAGAAAGTGAGTGAGAAAATGTGAGTTCCCGCCGCTCTTCTCACCTGTCATATGGGGTTCAATTTTACTATGGGCATCAGGCATATCATCCACCTCACCCACAGCCTCCCTGGTTTGGTCAGCCATGATACCAACCACTGGACCCGTACCCACCACAATGGCCATACTGGGACCCTTGGCAGGCTCATAAACAGCAAGCCTCCCATGCCTCTAGTGTGGCATGTCAGCAAACAAGGAGACACCCTCCTTCAGCTGTGGTTTCGAGGGCTTCTGAACCCCCAGAACAAGTAGGAGAGGAGATTGAGGTGGAGGAAGAAGTCACTCCTCAAGCCTGCTTCTCATCATCGTCACCAGATAAGACAGTGATGCCCCCGCTGCCATCAATGGCTGATTACACATTATTCCAGGGCCTGGCACAGAGGGTGGCAGAAGCCCTACGAAAACCCTTGCAGGAGAATACCGAATCTTACCACAACCTGGTGGACATTTTACATTCCTCCACCTCCTCCAGAGTGGCCCTCCCTATTAATGAGGCATTCCTGGATCCTGCCAAAGTCATATAGAAGACCCCTGCATCTGTCCAGCCAATACGCGGGCAGGCGGACAAAAAGTATTACGTGCCAGCAAAGAACATAGAATTTCTCTTTTCCCACCCGCCTCCTAATTCCATCATTTTGGATGCAGTTAACTGTAGGGGCTGCCAGCACCAGTTCAGAACCACCCCTTATGACTGGGACCGGAAATGTTTGGATCTGTTCGGCAGGAAGGCATATTCATCAGCTACTCTCCAGTTCCGTGTAGCAAACTACCAAGTCTTATTGTATGATTACCAAAACTACACAAAACTCAGTTCCTTTATTGAGCAACTGCCTAATTCTCACAAAGAACAATTCAAGGCAATAGTCAATGAGGGCCAGCTGTTGGCTAAAGTGTCCCTCCAATCCGCGCAAGATGCAGCTGACACAGTAGCGCACTCGATTTCTATGGCCATTGTGATGAGACATGCTTTGTGGTTTTACTTGTCTGGCTTCCCTGAAAAGGTCCAAACTATGGTGGAACGACCTTGCTTTTGAAGGGACAAAGTTATTTGCTGAGAAGACTGATGCATCCCTTCACATGTTGAAGGATTCTAGGGCAACTCTTTGGTCCCTTGAGATCTATACGCCTGAGGAGGGATTTCCCACACATGCTGGCTAGCCTCGTGGCAAGTGAGGAATAGTGCATGGCGAGCGGGATGGATGCTACCAAAGTTCTCCGATCAACAGCACAGGGACGCAGACACACCTACAGTGGAACATCCATAGGGGGACACATCTTGAAGAACCATAGTTACTGCACAAGGTGAGTAACTTCTTCAATTTATTTGGGCATCCATCATATTTAAAAGGGTGTTTTGAATTATAGATCTCTTCACTTATTCATGGGTTGGTTACTTTGTCCATGCAGGTCCCTTACAACTCTTGGGCTGGTTATTTCTGCTCTAGCGGATCAGGCTGCTGGCAAGAACAAGAACAAATTTGTTCCATATCGTGATTCTGTGCTCACTTGGTTACTTAAAGTAAGTGAACTTCTCATACATCTTTGGAGTGGGTGGCATGAGGAGAGAGAGAAGAATTTTTCCTTCGTAATGTGTAAAATACAATTGTTCCATCATCTAGTTTTGTATGTTTTTAAACTCTAAGCATTTGGGGATTGTTATTATACAATGTGCCACTCCTTTTCAATGTGGTGCAGGAGAGAGAATGTATTCTAGGATACTAGGAGTACTTAGGAATAATCTATATTTTAGAACAGTGGTTTTCAACCTATTTTCATTTGCGGACCCCTAGAACATTTTGAATGGAGATGCAGATCCCTTTGGAAATCTTAGACCTAGTCTGTGGACCTCCAGAGGTCTGTGGACCACAGGTTGAAAGCCACTGTTTTAGAGCAAATTTGAATAACCATTGACATAATCAAGACTTTGTATTGTAAGATGGGCCATCTACTAGCTTTACTACTTGTATGTTGCCTCTATCCCTTTTCCATTTATTTTCCTGTCCTGGTCTTTTTATCTTGGATTCTAACTCTTCAGAGCAGGGACCATACTCTTTTATCTTCGGAAAGCTCCTTGTGTATTGTGGGCATTACTGGAAACAAACTTTAACAACAATGCCAGTTGCAGCTTCTGGGTTCTGTACCCAGTTGTGTGACCTTGGGCAAGTCCATTCAGTATTTCTGTGCCCATCTTCCCCATTGTAAAACAGATATAACAACAATTATTTATGTCAAAGGAATGTTGTGAATCTCAGAACCAGCTCAGAATCTGGCCCTTCATGTTTATAACTTACTTGAAGATCCTTGGATGACAGATGGTAGGGGCACAATTCTGTTCACATTGAAGCCATTAGGAGCAGCACCAGAACCTAAATGCACGTGAGAACTTGGTCGAAAATAATAACCAATCTTCTTACCAACTTATCAGGCTTTTGATGTGTTTTATCAATTATACATTTATATTTACCCTGCCTTCTGTGTGGGTGGTTCTGCAGTTTGAGGCACATTAAAATGAAAAAAAATGTAGGAACTGAGAACAGTGATCTCCTCGTAAACTATTTTCTTGTTCTAGGTGTTGGTTAGGAAAGTAATGTCTAAATTTTCATTCCAATAGTGTTCTCACAATAATTTTAGTGCCGACACATAGTTGGCTGGTTTTAGTCTTTTTTTTCCCTTAGTTATTTCCATTCTGTTCTTGTCTCTGACATACTAAGCCCCCCACCTGTTGCAAACTTACTCTTTTTCATTATGAGAGTCTAGCTTATTCTACATTCACCCTTCCCACTGTGCAATAAAGGAACCAGTACCATTGCACAACAGATAATTACATATACAAATAAATTGGATGCCCTGGAGCTGGGCCTGAGCAGTCAACACAGTAATGGAGGGACCATTAGAAAATTAATAATGAAGCCCAGCCTCCTATGGAGAAAAGTTCCAATTTAGTGGTTCTAGTATAAGCTCTGCTTTGGAACTAATTGATGCAATGGAAGTTCTCAAAGTGTAAACTATGAACACTTTCTGTGGATTCCAAAAAGTGTCTGATTTTGGACATACTGTATATACAAACCTGGGATCATTTGCCAGTTACTTCACATTTTTGAAAATGTTCGGGAGAGGGAAAAAAGTCCCTGGCTCAAGGAAAAAAAAACCACATTGAACAGGACCAGTTCACACTGGATCCCATATTGAAGCCAGTCTTCAATGGCTGTGATGTGAGTACATTGCTATTTTATTTGGAGTGGGCCCTGCAAGACAAAGTAATTTGCAGACATGTAGGGATGGGACTATATTTATGCAGACAAAAAGTGTATTCCCATAAGCTAGTGGTATTTATTCTGTGAATTTAAACACATTGAGGATTGTTATGGAAAGCTTCAATGCGTTCGCCTGAATGAAATGATTAGACAAATAGTTTTAATGATGCCCAGTGGCAATCTTTGACCTACATTTCATGGATTACTTAAGATTAGAGCTCGTTGGGAATTTTCCATTAGAATGATTTTCTGATAGGAAAATAAAGTTTCCACAAAATTTAAATTGTCTATGGGAAAATTAAAATAAATATTTCATTTTCAGATCAGTTCCACCCAAATTGGAATATTTAGTTTGTTTAACAGATCCAAAATATTATATTTCTGATCAGTTCAACAAAACATCAGACTGCATTTCTCTATCAGGGCATTGCCTTATGGGAATTGTAATTCAGGCCCCCATTCTATTATATGGGCTAGGCTCCTGGAGGACTACATCTCCTATAATGCAATCCAGATTTCCCTCTGACTGATCTGTGTGGTGGGTCATGGAAGTCCCGTGTAGAAGTATTTGCTACAATCACAAATAAAACCAGTTATACCGTTAAACTCTAGGGCTCTGTCTACAGTACAGCAGTGCATTTAGCTGTTAATATAAAAGAGATGGTTTGTAAAAAGGTCTGTATTCCTTTAAATGTAAAGCTAGTACACTAGAAAGTTAACTGTCATTCAGATTCAGGCCTAAAAGTGCCAGCTGGAAAAAACTGGAAGACAAGTGAAATGATGACATGACAAAACACACAGTGAAAGTAGACCTATTAAGAGGGGAATTTTTGGTCAGATTGTTCTGAACTGTTTGTTTTGTTAACACCTATTGTAAATGAGTAATATTTCTGATAGAGAAAACTAGGGTTGTTAAGCAATTAAAAAAATTAATCGTGATTAATTGCATGATTAAAAAATTAATTGCGATTAATCACACAGTTAATCGCGCTATTAAACAATAATACAATACCATTTATTTAAATATTTTGGATGTTTTCTACATTTTCAAATATATTGATTTCAATTACAACACAATACAAAGTGTACAGTGTTCACTTTATATTTATTTTTCTTACAAATATTTTGCACAGTAAAAAGAAAAGAAATAGTATTTTTCAATTCACCTAATACAAGTACTGTAGTGCAATCTCTTTATCATGAAAGTTGAATTTACAAATATAGAATTATGTACTAAAAATAACTATACTCAAAAACAACACAATGTAAAATTTTAGCGCCTACAAGTCCACTCAGTCCTACTTCTTGTTCAGCCAATCACTCAGAAAAACAAGTTTGGTTACAATTTGCAGGAGATAATGTAAGGTGACATTGTAAATAAGAAGCAGGCAGCATTATCTCCCGTAAATGTAAACAAATTGTTTGTTTTAGCAATTGGCTGAACAAGAAGTAGGACCAGCAAAATGGCCACTGAATCCTCAAAACCATTTCATTTAGTAACTGGCCCATAAACGGATTGTGGGTTGTATGGTATTACATGTAACTTAGTGCTACACGTGCCATGTTGGTTACATTTACACTAAGGCAGGGGCTCAACCTGAGGATCAAGACCACCCTGTCCTTCCCATCTTGCAGGATAAGAGAGGAGCCCCAATATGTAAAAAGGGTCACAGTATGGAATAGATGAAGAGCTACTGCACTAAAAAGTTTTTTCCCTTTGGCTCAGAGAATATGGATATATGACCTCAATAACTGTAGCTCCTAGATGGGGTTATCTTTATGGCACCTTTTAAAGTGATGTCCACTTTTTGAGGAACACCTTCATTTTTATTTTGTGGCATGATTTTCCTTTTTGGAAGATCTGTTCCTGTTGTGTTAAACAATTTAGATTCCATTCTGAGTGTAGCAGATTCTAGCTACAACTTGCTGTATTTTAAAAAACAAAAAAAAATGTAAACCTTTGTATGGCAAATTGGGCAAGTGCAACATCTTTGATCTGTTTTTGTTTTTGTTTTTATTTTTAAACAGATAGCCTTAAGCTATTTACCTTCTAGGACAAATATTTTGTTTGGTATTTTTACAAACCCTTCTGTATTGAACAAGCATTTATTATTAGCCTGCTCTCCAATTTGCTGATTAAAATGATGCACAGTAATATACTGTTTTCTTGCTGGTGTAACTTTTGTTGAAAACATTTTATTGCTGTCCGCTTCTGCATCCTATATGGGCTCATCATAGATGTGCTTGGTAGAGGAGGACACCCCACCAATGAGCTTAACTAGAACACAGCGCTAAGGCCAGCAAAGCGGACACAAGAATGGATAAATTACGTCATCTCCTGCCTGTCGCATCATATCCATTGACTCAAAGTTTAATTCCTGTGGATGGCCGGAGATGCTACTGCTGGTTTGCTTCACTGGAGTTCTCCCAGTGATAGGAAGCAGCTTTAAACACTAGCAGAACAGTTTTGAAAAGCTGCTGAATCCGCAGTTCTTGCTATATTGGCTTATGCCTCATTTAGAGCTGGGTTGCATTAGTCTCTTATGATCTCTCTTCCCTTTCTCTCCCCCCCCCTCCCACCCCAAATGGAGTCATAGCCATTTTGTGCCTCTGCAACATGCTTCCTGCATCAAGGGATCTCTACCAGAGCTTGCTGATGTAAACAACTACTGAATGTAACCTACAAAATACATAGATTGGATGAGGTCCTACGTTTCTGTCTGAAATAGTCCCTGACAATCATCCCTGGCATGCAATTGCTGATGTGAGGTTGCCAGATACATTAGAATTACTTTTTTTAAATCTACACTCAGTATTTGTGAAAGTTGCCAGACTATTTGTGAACATGCCCTCAGATGAGTGGAGGCCACTGATACCCCGAGATGAACTTGATAGCTCTGAAGATTAGTCCTCTGTGTCAACCATAGAACAAATACAGCATAGGTAACAACAATGCAACTTTCCCTCGCCCTTGGTCAGGAGGGACTACATCTAGGGACAAGAAAGTGTAGCTTAGCCTCCATGATACAGTCCTTAGCCGATCTGTTTAGATGGACAATGCTGCTGTCAGCAATTACAGGCCTAACTTTTCAGAAATCTCAATCAGATTGGCTTAATCTACCTGAAAGATGAGGTGTGTCTCTTCCTCCTGCCCTCTCTTGCTTCATTCTGCTTTAACACTGACACACTGGACCAGTGAGGAAGGCTCATGACTGCCAGAAAGAGAACATTCATAAGTGGCTTCTTTTCCTGGGGGAGGCACCAATAGAAGACCAAAGGAGGCCACCAAACCAATATACATAGGCCACCAAATAGCCTTTAGATGCAAACAGCTTTTAATTACTACCTACATGGACTGGATTTGAACTGATGGGCTTGGGGTGAAAGGCTCTCATTACCAGTCCCCTCCTTTATTATTCGGTGCTCTTTTTAAAAAACAAATGAACAAAAAATCCTCCCTGATTTTTTTTTCCTTTGCTCTCCTACAGGACAGCCTTGGTGGTAACAGCAAGACTGCTATGGTGGCAACAGTCAGCCCAGCAGCAGATAACTACGATGAGACCCTTTCCACATTGAGGTACGCAGACCGGGCGAAGAACATAGTTAATCATGCCGTGGTAAATGAAGACCCCAATGCCCGCATCATCCGAGAACTCCGAGAGGAGGTGGAGAAGCTCCGAGAACAGCTCACCAAAGCAGAGGTACAATATACTAGCTGTTCAAGGCTCCTTTGGTGTTCTACTTCATGGTGCTGCAATCCTGTGAAGACACTGATTAGATATTTTGTCTGGGCTTGAAGATAAACATCAGTAAGGCAATACTAGACAGTATTTATGGGGAAAATCCATGTCATCTTTTTTCACCTCAGCTTTCTTCCTCTCCCCGTTTTTCCTCTTATCAATATGAGGCTGCTGAGTGTTGACTAGTGGGGGTGATAATGTGAGAGGCAAGCTTCCCTTGAAATGTTTCATTAAGTGGTCACATGGTAGTGTCCAAGCTTGAGCAGAGATCAAAAAGGAAGGAAGACATACAGATAGAACTAGGGGGACAGACATTTGAAAGACTGTGCTTGCTATTGGGAGGGCTTTACCTAACTACCCAGGAATACAGCAGAATTACAACAATTTCTTCAAGATATAAATATATTCACATGACTTCTGTTTACCTTACAACTTTCAAAAAAATGTAACAATATTTATTATGAATTTATCCCCTATTTCAGGTGTTGAAGACAAGATACTTGTGATTAATTTGTGCCTCAAACTGAAGCATGCAGGAGCGTGATCTAATGGTTAGAAAACAGGGCTAGGAGTTAGGGTAGTTTTTGGTTCTCTTCCCAGAACCGCCAAAGAAGTTGCAGTGATTATGGCCCCAGCCAAGTTATTTAATCTGTGTCTTTTTCTCATCCTGGAAAATTGGGATAATACTACTTCCATCAGAGGAGTGTTATGGGGCTCAATGGTTGAGGCTTTCAAAAGTGACTAGTGATTTTTTTGGTGCTTCAGTGTTGGGGTGTTTAAATTGAGACACGTGAACTTGCTGAGCATCGCCCCGTCCCATCTGAAAATTAATCCCTTTTAAGGTATCTCAAGTCAGGCACCCAACATCAGTAGTCACTCTTGAGAACAAAAACAAAAGCCAACAAAAAACGCACACATGCCAAAATTTTCAGATCCTTTGAGAAGTACTGTGTGTTTATTTTATGGTTTTGTTTTCATTTTCTAGCTGGTTGTTGATAGAAAGGGATTAGTGCCCAAATAATGGAAGCCAGCTCTCTAAAACAATGTAATATAAGTGATCATTCCTTTTCTGTGGGTTAAATCCTACCCCCACCATCATCTCAATGGAATTGACACAAAATACAAAAATGCTATACAGCTTGTAGCTAAAAGTCTGCACTGTAAAGATCATAAGCTATATTTGTATCCTCTCTTCCCCTCCAGCTTATTGCATTTGTATATGACCTATTTATCTTCATAAAATAATCGCTTACACATATTTCTAAAAAAAAATGTTTAGTGACCCATATGGACAGTCGCAGAATTACATTCTGAAGTTCCCATCTAAATTTAGACCTTACAGTGTATTTTTCCTTTTAGTGTCAGTGTCTCTCACTTTCTCTCTCAAATAGCTGTAAGCAGAACAATATCTGACACTTTCATTTTTTACTGGACGAATAAGATTCATTCCTCTCTTTTGATCTTTTTATTTTATCTATACTAGTTGAGTCAAGTTAACCTAACTCTTCTGGAACTAATTCCAAAATGTGGTACTGTGTCTACACTAAGTCTACCAACATTTCTCTGCTGATCTTGGAAACTAAACAACCAACTAATTCAGACTCTCTGGGGATGCGCTTGCTTTCCTACATTCTGGTTTTGGTCCTGTGTATCTGAGAGCTTTGTATTTTGTTCTAATAAATATGCAATGTTGTGTCACCTGGGTGTCAAAATAAGGTTAATAATGCTTAGCGCTAATTTTATATATCTCATGCACATACACTATCCAAACAGCAATCAAAAAATCCTCCTTGTGTAGGTATAATTGCTCTCCATGCTGATGGAGAAGCAGACACAGATGTTAAGTGATTTGTCTAAGATCATATGAATAACCAAAGCAGATTTAGAACTTGAAAATAACTTATTTCCAACTTTCTGCTTTGCTCACTGGATCCCTTTGCCTTTGCTTACTCAATACTTTATTAGAATTAGGCATATTAGATCTTTGTTCTAGAGACTGCACTGGCTTCCGTTTCCTTCATGGATACAATCCGTGCTGTTGGTTTATGAGCTATGAATTCCTTATGATTTAGATATGTAAAAGGTGGCCTTTCTGCTGCTGAGATGCTCCAGCTGACAGTCCCTAGACTAGTATATCTGGGGGCTGGGGAAACTCCAGTACAGAGGAGGAACCTACACTCCTAGCTCTTGCTTCTGCTCTTGGTCAAAGAGATCTGGAGTCTGTTCAGGGCATGCAGCGAAGTGTCTGTGCTTACCTTGGATTCTTCTTGAAGGAATTATGGTTGTGGGGTTAGGAAGTTGGTCCAATGAGGAGCTATGTTTCACAGAAGAAATGAAAGGTCAGAAGTGACCTCGAGAAGTCATCGAGTCCAGACCCCTCTGCTGAGGCAGGATTAAGTATACCTAAAGCATCCCTGACAGGTGCTTGTCTAACCTGTTCTTAAAAAGCTCCAATGATGGGGATTCCACAACCTTGCTTGGAAACCTTTTCCAGTGCTTAATTATCCTTATAGTTAGAAAGCTTTTCCTAATATCTAACCTAAATCTCCCTTGCTTGCATGATTGACATTGTGTAAACACCAAGTGGTTGACAGTATTTTCATTTTGTAAATGGAAATGATACACAAATAAGCATAAATTATTATAACAAATCTACTTCCTATTGAAGATAGTATAAGAAGAATACCCCAGTACTAGTACTGGTGGGCATTACATATGATACAGAAACGTCAGCCCCATACCAATCTCATGGGGAAAATATCTATCCACTTGCCTCCTTGAATAAGTATGAGGCTCTGACTCAGTCATGAAGGCCAACAAACTTGATGAATTGACAAGGGGAGAGAATTCCAGCGTTAAGCATTCTGTTAGGATCACCCTGCCTCCAGCTTTGCAAAATACAAACAGGAGTGTTTCAGCTGTCTGAGTGATCCATGTGGAGAAAAGTGATCTCTTAGGAGCCGAAACCCGGACCCTGCAAAATTAAATCTCCGCAATAATGACCATGCCAATAATCATTGGGACCCTAACTGCCTTTCTGTGGGGAAAATCACTGAGAAAGTGATGGCAGGCCAACCCCAGCATTTCTGACAATCTCTCTGATTCTTTTAGATACCAACCAGTGAGGCTTTCAGAATTGAACATGGCAACAAAATGGGCTTAGTATATGGTTGATCTCTTCATGGCAATGGAAAGACTTCTTGTAATTGATTTACATTAGAGCAGATAAACTCTCTCTTTTGAGGGTCTGTATTTGGAACTTGCAGTACACGAGAGAAGTGGTGGTGATAAGTGATTTGGTTAAATGTGTCGAGGGAGATGAATTCTTTCTGCGGTAGGAGTGGGGGTTAAGTTTCCTTTATTGACCTGTCAAATTGATCTATGAGGATAATCTAGGTACTAATATCAAGGAATTCAATGTCTTGTTTTTTCATTTGCAGGCTATGAAATCACCAGAATTAAAGGATCGGTTGGAGGAATCTGAGAAATTGATCCAGGAAATGACTGTCACCTGGGAAGAGAAATTAAGAAAAACAGAGGAGATAGCACAGGTTTGCATTTTCTTTGATTTTGGCAGTTAGGGAGAAAATCTTATTACTTACTTCCTTTCTTTATCCCTTCATAATAGTTGTCAGGATAGCTCTTCACGTTTATGGGTAAGTAGGTCAAGTTCATTGCCCTTTTAAAGGGCTGCTGCTTAATTCCTGGGATAGCGGGTTACATCACAGATTACTGCTCTGGGAACAATAATAAACCTTCAGACTCTATGTAAATTGAGAGATTGCTTTTAAAAAATCCATGGATGGAGAGGATTAGAGGGTTTTTATACCTTTCAGACAGTGAAATTGTCGACTGTGGTTAAAGATAGAGTGTGAGTGCATTAAATACAGGGTTATGTGCTGAATACCTCAAAAAACAAAGTTAAGGAGCATTCAGAATATTAAAAAATAATTGAACTTGTCTTTTTTCCTTTTTGTAACTTCAAAATCCCCCTGTATGCTCAACACTTCTCTTATCCCTGATGTTTAGAGCATTCAGCACACAATAAAGTTGAAAGTTTGTGCAGTTCACCATGACACTTCCCATCCTTACCAAACAAGTGTTGATGTAAGCACTTGCACTGAAAAACCTATTGAAAGCTCATGTAGATAGCATATTAAATAATGAGAAAATATAACCCTGTGATACCAAAGTGGTTTTGTAGGTGACATGATCAGAAACAGGGTTAGCTTGTTGGCCTCAGACCTCTTGAAAGAAATGTTATTTACCTTTTTTTCTTTATGCTCCTAAATTCTTGACCTGTTATAACATGTTTACAGAGCTGAGATCTTCAAGAGCCTTATCTTAGTTTCTGGGGAAAAAAGTGAAATGTTGGCAGTGAAAGAATAAGAACTAGTGCTTGTGCAATGCTAAGTTTAAAAGGTTTAATTGTTAAGCTGTCTCAAGTGGAGTGATTTATTTTTGGTCTTGTGGCTTATATCCAACCTGCATTTTAGAGTGGGGGAAAATGTAAATGTGCAAAACCTCACTTCCATGTCAAACCTTTTACCGATTCTTGGTTTGCTAAAGATGAATACTTTCGCTTTTGCTGCATCAGGTTTTTAAATAGTAAAGTCTTAAGGTGTTTTTTTTCTAATACTGTCTATGATAAAACTGCTGGAATTCGTTTGTAAAATGTTGTGAGGGTATTTTGTTTTTTCTCTGTTTTTATTAGAAAAAAAGTGCTAGCTTATCGGGTTCTTTAATACAAACTTTACATCTTCACCTACCGTAATATTTCTTCCACACCAGAAAGCATTAATAATATAAATATACATCTCCAAGAACAGAGATGATTCAATACAATAGAACTTTCAAGAATCCACCTTGTCCTTCCCAGGAGCATGAGGGAAGGAAATATTAAAAATGCCCAATATCGAATACAAAATTACGGGGTTGAAAAGAAAAGCAGCAAGCTGTGGTGATGAGGAAACAGTTATCAAAGCATTATGGGGAATTTAAATAAATGTCCGTTCTCTCAAAATTTTAGAAGCATACAATAGGAAAAGCACAAGTTATGAAAATTACTTAGACAAGTTAGATGTCTGCAAGTCACCAGATTCTGATGTAATATATCCTAGAATATTCAAGAAATTGACTGAGGAGATATCTGAGACATTAGCAATTATCTTTGAAAAGTCATGGAAGATTGGAGAGATTCCAGAGGACCGGAAAAGGGCAAATATAGTGCCCATCTATAAAAAGGGGAATAAGGACAACCCGCGGAATTACAGATTAGTCAGCTTAATTTCAGTACCCACAAAAGTGGAGCAAATAATTAAGCAATCAATCTGCGAACACCTAGAAGATAATAAGGTGATAAGTAACAGTCAGCATGGATTTGTCAAGAACAAATTGTGTCAAACCAACATTATATCTTTCCTTGACAGGGTAACAAGCTTTGTTGATAGCGGGGAAGTGGTAGATGAGGTATATCTTGACTTTAGCAAGGCTTTTGGTACTGTCTCACATGACTTCTCATAAACAAACTAGGTAAATGCAATCTAGATGGAGCTACTACAAGGTGGGTGCATAACTAGGCCCTTGGCTACACTTACCCGCTAGTTCGGCGGCTGGCAATCGAACTTCTGGGTTCGACTTATCGCGTCTAGTCTGGACGCGATAAGTCGAACCCGGAAGTGCTCGCCGTCGACTGCGGTACTCCAGCTCGGCGAGAGGAGTACCGCGGAGTCGACGGGGGAGCCTGCCTGCCGAGTGTGGACCAAGGTAAGTTCGAACTAAGGTACTTCGAACTTCAGCTACGTTAATAACGTAGCTGAAGTT